ACATTGCTATGGAAAGCAAGAGTTTTATAAGTTGTAATTTTAATATACAACCTTGCTTTATAATTCAATAGTACTGTGAACAAGCAGTCACCCAGCCAAACTTTTATGAATATGTGTATTATTGTATAAGGTATAGTTGCAGATCAACCAAATATTTGGCAATGCACCCAATTCAGTATTTACTCTGTCTATTAAACACCATACAATTCTACATGTCAATGGTAGAGGACTGTCTTTAAATGGGTTATACATTTATGTTAATTAATTCAGGTGGAATTGATTCAAGTTCAGCCCAAGAAAAGAACGACAAATCCAGTGAAAAAGACAAGTCAGAGTTACCTTTGTACAACAACAGTGATAATGAGATGGAAGCGCTGTTTGGCATATCAGCGGAAGAAGAGGACACACATGGAACACCCAAATCCCAAAATCCAACTAACAGAAGGGAAAAGGTTGCTAAATATCTTAGTAATGAGAAAGAGAAAAGGATGAGCTCAAAGATCTCGGTTGACAAACAGCATCTTCATCTTGCCAGGGAAGATCTAGCCCTAAAGAGGAAAATGATGGAGACCGTCTGACAATGTGGACCAGCAATTTATAAGTAACACAAGTAAAATGACAAAGACGATGGAAAATGTGGGAAATGCATTCACCTGTTGCTTCGACTTAATGAAGAAAATCTATGAAACCCCACAGGCAAATGTGCCACCAGCTGTACATGGTAATTTTTCCCACCCTTCAATGCCTGTTTATCCAGACAGGCATGGTTTTCATCAATACTTTCCATCCAATTGCTTTAACACATCGAACAATATTAAGCCATCAGCTAGTAGTTCAGATAAGGATGATTAGTAAAACAATGGACAACTATAATTTATTATAGAATTATAACAAAACAGTTAGTTATGTTGATATAGTACATTAGCTTTGACTATAATGTTGAGTTTATACTGTACATTTCTGTTGAACAGTAACTTTTCCATTTCTGAAAATATTTCTGGCCTATATCAATGTAGTTCATTATTCTAGTTTAACTGATTGTCAATATTATGTCACAGAGGAAAGATGTAACTGTTACTGAACATTTTACAGGGTCACAGTTTTCTGACCCTTCTAGCTACATACATGACATTGTCTCAGACTCACTCTCTTCTGTGCTTAACATTGTCAATTTTCAAACATTCATTTTACATGTATGTTTTTTAAGCACTATATGACAATTATAAATGTTTTATTCAAAGTACTTCATGAAAACATTCCTAATTGCTTTTCCACCTCTTTCATTGTTATGGACCACTGCATTACCCACATGACTTGGAGGTTGAAACTCTTGGTCATACCTCTGAACTGCCCTTATAAGTTCCATCGCCAACTGTTTCATTGTGTATCTCACAAAAATTATTTAAAATGAAACAAGCATGGATTGTTGTGATGATGTTGTCTAAGCTTAGATCCATGGGCCGTCGCAGAATACCAAACCGTGCTTTCAGCCTACCAAAAGCACACTCAACAACCATTCTTGAGGATGATAGGCGGTACCCAAAGAATTGTTCTTGAGGGGTGCCACCACCTTTAGCGAACTCTTTCATTAAATATGGCAGTAGTGGGTAGGCAGGATCACCAAGAATGCATATTGGTACATCTTGTTCACCATCAACGATAGACTTCTTACATGGTGGTATAACCCCATCCCTTAACTTTGTATTTATTGCTGAGTTACCAAACATACGTGCATCATGCACACTACCAGGCCATTTTATTACTACATCAAAAAAACAGTATCTATAATCCACACAAGCCTGAACGTTAATGCTATGGTATCCTTTTCTGTTTACATATGATGTTGGGTCTTCTTTCGGTTTTATTGGAATATGTGTCCCGTCGACTGCACTTATACACTGGGGGAAACCATAGCGAGCAAAAAAGTTTGCTGTAGATGTATTGACTTCTTCTTCTGTTGAAGGCGCTTTCACATATGTACCCGCTAGGTTTATTGATATAGCCCGAGTTACTCGTTTCACGATTATTGAGACCGTACACTGTGCTATACCAAACGCATTTGCAGTTTTCCTCATTCTTCCACCATCCGACAAATAATACAAAGTTACTGCAATCTGTTTCTCAACCGAAATTGGGGTCCTTAGGTGTGTTATTTTCCCTGCAATATACGGACCAACCTCGCGACAAAGAACATCAAACGTTTGTTTAGACATTCGAAAATTTTCTTTCCATTCTTCGGGAAGAGTAATTTCGTTTTGCAAGCACGACCACCAGGCAGTTCTTTTCGGCCTGGTCTGACCCAAAATCGACAGACTTTTCTTTGTTTTTTAACGCGGTTTTGAACCCGGTAATTTGACGTTATTATCATTTTACGAAGTCGTCTTCGTGAAGAATAAAAACTCAGTTGTGATGCCAAACAAACAAGACATTTGCAGCACGCTTGCCGCTATAATAGTGAGCATAAGTACGTTTTTTAAGCCTAAGGGATTCATTTTGCAATTCAACTTGTAAACATAACTCAAAATTTCGCGCCAAAACTTATGTCGCAATGGACTTCCTGTTATTACACTTGGTTTTATCCGGTACAGCACCTACCGGATTACTTTTCATATCACCTCCAAAGCGAAGTGATTCTCGTGCCGCGGCACGTACCGGATTATAGTGGCGTAGTGTAAACAAGAGCCCAATTCGGTACAGAAATCGCGTCGCTTCGATGCAATCCGGTATAGTGTAATCGGGGCCTTAACCCCAACGCCTCTTCTGGTGCTCGTTGCATGTCAATTACATTTTCGGGTTGTCTCAACAATTATTTCTCCTGGCTGACTTAGTTTTTCTTTGTCTTGTAATTGAGACGGTGTTGTTGAATGGACTGAAGAATGTGTGCTGGAGCTTTCCGATGCCCCTCTAATCTTGTGGAAGGTTGTGTCCCGTGCTGCTAAGAAACGAGGTATGCACTTTTTTCACTCTGTCGTCTGGTTGATCAACACAGATATGTATTGGAACAACAGTATTTTGCTCAACATGTTGAAGGTAAGCCTTTTCATCTTTCAGATTGCTTGACCGAAAATGAATGGAGTTGTGGTCCAGAGCCAGGTGCGGGAAAACCAGAGAAATCATGAAATTCAACTTCATCATCATCTTTGTGCCACCAAACACCTTGAGTAAGAAATCGCTTATTTCTTGCAAATGAGCTTGTCATTCTCTCTCAAATCTCTTTATGATGGAAATTGGAATTCGGGTATTTCGGAGAGGACTGAGGGCTTTGGATAGCGTGCTGATATGTGCATCTTGTTTCGAAGCATCTTCTCTCTGTGCCATCTTCTTCTCTGCTTGTAAGCATACCATGATATTGGGGATGACTTGGTCGTTGCTGTAGTTGCTTGTCCTCTTTGCAATGATTTTGATGTGATGGAACAGTCTTTCTTCCTCTTCTGCATTGGCTGCTTGTCCTGACACGAGGCAAAACATGCAACCTGCATGGGCTGTGAGATCATGGAAATACACACCAAACAATTTGCGCTTCGTAATTTTTTTTTATGTTTGAGTAGGAGCTTTAGGAGAATAGCATGGTACCAGGATTGGTTGCAGTATCTCAGGATCAGGCATGGATTTCTTTTCTCTTCTTCACAGTAGAAAATTCGTTGCATTTCTGAAAGTGTTTCCAGGATTAAACAAGGTGTGTCAGAAAGAGATTTATTTTGCCGCGTGTACGTTGTTGTTTTTAGTAGTCTTGCTCGGTAGTCAACCCCACACGCATACTGTCTTTCCCATCCAGGCACGTCTTAACACAATCTTCAGAAACCTGTCTCTCTTTGTCCTCTAGATAATGTGGCAACTCTGTAAAAACATTTTCGATGTGGTGTCCTATATCGTGAAATGGTTTAGTTGGTAGGATTTCACAATCAGCGAGGTGAAGATCTTCTAAAGGCACATCTGGAGTGTACACAAGCAGTGCAGTAGACATTGAATTCCATGTAATTCCATGTCTAGCTTAGCTTGAAGCTCTTGCTTAGTCTTTCCGTTGTATATTCCCCGCACTCCTGATTCTTTCTCAAGTTGCTTTTTTGATAGAGTACTTAGAAGTTTCAGCTTCTGTTTAACACTGTTCACTCTCGAAACTGTACCCAGTTTCATTACTGTATCCATTCTTTCTTGGAAGGATATAATTGGACAGTTTAACACATGATCCAATTCATTCTGCATGGCATCCACAGTTGGAACAAGAATAGTGTCTGCCCTTTTGTTGGCCTGCTTCTACCTCTTGTGCTGGATTATCTCCATGGAAGAATCTTGCTGTGTCAATACATTCATTTCCAGTGGCTGTTTCGAGGTTTGTAGCCATTTCCTTGCTGCATGTTAGTCTGGTTTCACTATACGCCAGTTGCTCTGCTTCTGAACTTCCACAGCGTGAAATGAAGTGCAAATGCGGTTTTTCCACAATCTTCTGGATGCTGACCGTGTTACCCATTTTAGCATTGTATTCTTCGTTGGTTAAATGAAATGCAGGGTCGTACAATACAGAAACCAAGCATAACAAATACCCATGTGGAATAGTCGTGCCAAATAAGCAAATGCCTGTGTCATTCAATGCTCTTTATCTTCTCTCGTAATTGCTCTGTGTCCAAGTTGTCACTTTCATTGTATTCGTTAATTTCCCTTAGACGGGCACCTTTTTGTGGGTCATATTAGCGTAATGTGTGTCCGACTTATCTCTGCTGTAGGATGCATGTTCAAGAAGGGTTTTTTCTCTAATCTCTGCCAGTGGCACCTTTCTGCCTTCCACAGTTAATTCTTCCTTCTTCACTACCATTTCCTTCCTGATGATTTGGCCACCATTCTTGGCATGTTCTCCATTCGCTTTCTTCACATGATATTTTCTTGCTAGCTCGGACCAGTTTACTGCTCTCTCACTGTCATACGAGTTTACTTCTTTAAGCACCTCTGTGTCCCATGTTACAATCCCACCAGCACGCGACTTTTGCTTTGCAGATGCTCTTGTCTCAAATGATAAAGCTAGTCTGTTGCGTTCCCAACCTCTTAGCGATTGACCACTGCCATAACATCTTGAAGATAAAGGATTATAATAATTGTACTCAAAATAGTTTGCAACTGTTGCAGCAAACTTGTATTATCTGCAAGCATGGAGCACACAATCGTAATGATAATAATTTGATGTATCTACATTATGTTTGTGTAAGTTGATCTACATGCACTACAAACATAACTTGTTGTAAAAATGAATTTGAAAATTGTGTTACTTGTTTGTTTTTAAATAAAATATTATGCCAGCTGGTTTTTAATCGTATTCACAATATGTAACATGTTCAAGTTTTTTTTATTTAGAAGTCCTTAGAATGCAATGCCAGGACTGTACTGTCTGCAAGCTTTAGTAGTTTAGAGCAGTACCAAACTGAGCCGGCTGTACGAATGCCGTTTAGCTTCACAAAATCATCAACGATTTGACTATTTATTTTTGAAAATCTAACAGAGCAACAGTCAGCGACTGCATTTCCAACTGTTTTATGAATAATTAATTAAAATTATGTACATATTTCATGCATATATTTAAATTCACTGTCTTATTCACATGTTTCGTAGATGCTTATAATTATATGCAAACTATTCTCAGCATGATAAATTTGAAAAGAAAAGAAACTATTACTGCTGGGTCCTATGTATTTTGACGTCATGTTTAAAAAGTTTGGACAGCAGAGCCATTTTCAGAGTAAAATGTAAATTTTGAGAGATTGGAAATTGCCACTTTATTATGCTTGCACCATAATTGTGTCATGACTGTCGTCGCCATAATGCTGTTGTCCTGTTGACAGATTTACCTATTTGTATCGAAATACTCTCCACTTTGAGGTCAAAAGAAGAGGATTTTTATTGCCATTCCGTGTGGAATGTGCCCCTGGAAGAAGTACAGTAGTATAAGTATCTTGGCGTAATGATAAATAATAACCTGACATGGCATGATCATATTGAATTTGTTAAATCTAAAATTAACACGAAGTTGGGACTGCTTAAATGTATTAAAGACTATTTACCGTTACAGTGCATATGAAATGAAAATTTCGATACTGGGTTTTTTGCATTTTCTTTCAGGAATTTTCAATGTGGTCTTTTTCGATCATAAAAATACCAACCTTGTTGAAAAATTCGAACCACAAGTTTGTTAATTTTATGATTAAAGTTCGATTTTGAGACTATATCTACTGGCAAAATTCCTGACATTCAATCGCGCAGCCAGTGATGTATGCAGTGTGACACAGTGCAACCTTTCGATATGTAAACACTATTAAAATTATAGTTTCATCTGGTTAGAATTGGGTTTTTGAGAGATTTTGATGAAAATTGAAACGAATCAACTTTCTGTAGACATTGCTTTCAATGTATAGATACAATACATTACAACATGATGAGTTGTAGCGTATATAGGCGGCCGAAAATGCTATGAGACAAGGGACTATGTCTACGTTGTAGGTCTCAGACCGCATATTATGTATATAGGCTATAGCTGATATTAATTATGGCAAACATTGTAGTAACTAGTGTAAGCATAACATGGAAATTAATACTAAATATCTACATTTACTGACATTATGCCATAGCATGACCATTCCAAAACAAACAAATTTTGAAATGCATATATAGCGTGGTAAAATACGATAGGGTAAAAGGACTTTAATATAGCTGCTTATAATGATGGGCTCTACTTCATTATATAATTTACGTTCACTCACAATTATTTGTTAATTTCACATTGAGAATCTATTACATCTAGTTGCATGTTTTTGTACACGAAATAGACCAGAATTAGATTAGTATTTATCTCGCCTCTAGAAAACCTCGGCAAGAAACGTGTGCATGTTTTGCGCGACAGACATAGCGTGTCTACTGACGTGACTGACATAAGCACTCGCACGCAATCTTGTTTGCATCTGTACTAACCCTATAAGGCAATGCAGTTTCTATTGATTTACTATGCATGCTGGAAGTGGTCTGGAATTCTCCCATCCCAGCATGCCAAATACCATCTGACTATCCAACTGCTCAAAGATATCTAAATAATCAAACAGTGAGTCATTAATTTCATGTTTGCAAATAGTAAAGAAGTTACTTATGTATGGTCGGAATATATATAAAATTTGCCTACCCAAGGCTAAGTCAAGTCACTATTTAATATTACCTATTAGTATATTGTCTAATATATACATATAAAAAAGATAAATTATAATAACAAAGAATACAAGATATCATTTAGAATACAAATATATACAAGAAATAGTGATATTTAATTATCTTGGGTTCTGCTTGTTGGTTTATGATACTTTTTCCTGACTTTATATCAGAGAAAAGCCCCCGCATCTCTAGTAGGCTACTGTTTGATGGGTGACGACTATTATCATATTACGGAGTGAACAATAACATAACATAGGCTAACATAACACTTGCAGAACTAGTATGGTTCGATGCTGTATTAATATAAACGAGTATGTTTATGACATTCAGTATATAGTTCATAATTTCCATGAGTCTTAAATCTGTCTGACCGTGTAGCTCAGTTGGTAGAGCGTCGATCTATTAATTCGAAGGTTGCTGGTTCAAGACACAGCCGTGGCAGACAATGTCTTCCTGCTTGTGCTGGGTATGGAAATTATGAAATACACACTCGAGAACATTTTCAACTTACTGCATAATCCCAGTGTTGTGTGATGCATTCTGCGTCCTTGTCCTCGAACATAAATTTGTCAATGCACTCCAAAATTTCCTTACAGCATCTATATTCTCTAGCATCCTGCAATAATTCGTCGCTACAATGTCCACATGAGCACCTTAAAATAAGCTCTCTTATCAGACGAAACAGGGTAATAAATAGTCGAGGAACGGGTTAATGTAATATTACTTTTATAACTTTACTTACCATGAATTAACAGCTACATTTTTTTATAGTCACCATCTGCAACTAGCTCAAATTGATATGGCTGAACAACAGACGATTGCTCAGCGATGTCCTCATTATCTGTTGACCCTGTCTGTGATTCAAAGCTTTCGTTATCGGACATTTTTATAGCGAAATATAAAGGCAACTGTCTGATGTTTGTGATATTTTGTTGTTTTCGTATAGTCAGACACTTGGACGTGTCACACTGCATATGTCACAAGGCCGGAATTCTAGGTACCAGTCTTTTGCCAGTAGATAGTCTCAAAATCGAACTTTAATCATAAAATTAACAAACTTCTGGTTCGAATTTTTCAACAAGGTTGGTATTTTTATGATCGGAAAAGGCCAAATTTTCAGAAAATGCAAAAAACCCGATATCGAAATTTTCATTTCATACACACTTTACATAGTAGAATATTATTTTACAATTCCTATATTCAGCCAAATCTTGACCATGCTGACATAGTATGGGGAGATCGGGGGAATGAAACCCTAATGACAGATCTACAAATCCTACAGAATAAAGCAGGACGTATAATCTTGGACCTTTGTTTTATTTACTGTCATTTACAAGATGTAAACATATTTAGATATAATGTATAACTATAAAGCTGTTGTCTGTGGTCTCACTGTCTGCCCACATGGATTTTACCATGAACAATTGATAATAATTCTAAGGGTTTCATCAGTTGACAAATTGTTGGAGAAGGCCTTGACGGCTTCATTCCTCGCCCCATAATAGCAGATAGATCTTGTTTAAGAAAATAACCAACATTGTGAAGGCAATCTTTGCCTTTGTTGACAGTTTTGTTGTCCATGATTGCTTGATTGAAACCAAACTAACTTATGAATTTGTACACCAGATTTGTCTGGGTTTGATAAAGAGAACTGGCTACCAAAAACAAATCAGGAAAACTGCAGAATGTCAGCAAAAATCGAAAGGATTAAAAAATGTGGTGAGAAAGAAGCATTTGGCTGTGAACATGGTATTACCCATTACAGTGGTGCTTCTCTATTTACCTATTTTCATGCAATCTGCTTCTTTACTACCCAATGCACAACCTTTTCCTTGGAACAGCCAAAGGGATGTTCAACATCTGGATGAACAAGAATGTGCTAACTAAGAATAATTTGGAAGAAATACAAGAGCGAATTGGGTTTGATGAATGTTTCAAACTTTATAGGTAGACCCCCATAAAAAATAACATCAAATTCTAAATTTTAGAGAAATTGTTTCTGGTGTTTTGGTTTTGAATGCTAGAAATTGTTTCTGGTGTTTTGGTTTTGAATGCTTTAATGGTATTCTAGGAAGTATCACAATGAACAAAAGGTCACTTGAATTACAGCTTATGAGAAAATTTCACATGTTTCAATTTCAACAACCTGGCGACTTGCTTAAGCAAGATTTGTTTCCACTTTGTACTCAATCAACAAAAAGACAAAGGTAATGCTTGGTTGTTCAGATCAACAATCTTAGCTCCCTAACTCACAAATTTGGGACAATCACTATAGGTTCTACATTGTATGGTTCCAAAGATGTACAAAGAAGTACATGGTCAAGCACAATTCTAGCTTCATGACCCGATAACCACGGCAGTGTTAACAAAGACATTCTTCTCGAATGCCAGGAACAGTACAGTTTTACTTTAAGCACATCGTCCATGGCAAAATTTTGATGATCAATTGATGGCAAAAATGTGATGCATATATTAAAAAAAAAGAAAAGCTTAATCTATAAAATCTTAATCTTAATCTTTATCTTAATTTAAAGCTTAATCTATTACCATTATCCTACTGGATGGAACTAAAGGATCTCGTCTTCTTTTTTAAATGTAAGCACGGTCTCTTCGACCTAGATATGTCCCCTTTCGTCACTGTTTCTTCAAACAGCTCGTCTCACACCCGTTCAAGTTCAGACAACTTGCTTCGTGTCAATCATTGCAGGACTTCTCTCTTTAGGAACTCTTTTTTTAACCGAATTGTCTTTCTCTGGAATAATCTCTCTCCCACCATTCGTAATAGTTCATCCGTTTCCTCCTTTATAAACAGACTAACTGTTCATTACTCTTCTCTACTTCATTCATCTTTCGATGTAAACAGAATGCGCACTTGGAAAACCTTCTGTTCTAAGTGCCGCTCTTTCAACTTAAGCTGTTGTTCGTAATTCGTCATGTTTTCTGTAAATTTTATATTTGTTATCGTCTTTGATTTATGTTTGTTATAGTTTGTTTTCATTAAGGTTGGTCTTCACATGGGGCTATTCATGTCCTGTTGACCATATCTTCAACCATATTATGGTAGTGTTTTAGTCTATTTTATGTATGGTTGTAAAGTTAATAAATAAATAAATATTTGCATATATAAAGTGGCAGAAACCAGTAGAAAACAGGAATGAAATTGGAAATCCAGTTCAGGTATGGTCATCAAGGTATCAAGAACCAAACTGTTCTGTTTTTATGCCTGTCCAACTACAGCAGAGTATATTAACGACACAATTGCAGTGATACACTAGGAGCTCGTCGAGGCAGTCATGTGTCTTTGAACTCATCAGAAATCAAGGCTTTGGGCGAGTCTACTCCTTAAAATCGTTTTTTAATATATTATTTTCATTTGAAGTTATTTCTCTTGAGTTATATATTGATTAAGCTGTAAAATGGATGGCTTGCAGCCTAGTCCCAGGCTCTCTCTCTCTCTATTCGCTGCTTTGATATATTTAAATAAGTCTTAAAAGTTTTTTGCCTGGGTGTGCTGTGCGGAACGCTTCAGCGAGAGAGCCTAGCAGATTTCGGTAAAATGGTCCCTGATTTCAAAAAAGTGGTCCCTGGCCTGGTTACCAAGCATATCTCATTTGTAAATGAAAATGTTATGGAAATTTCCTTTGCATTTATAATTAAGTAATTAGTTTTGCTCTAATGCTGTCGGAACAATGAAGTAGGCTACGTTTCGCTGCCATATGGTCAGAATGGAATAACGGGCTAAATATGACTCGTGTTTACTAAAATATATAGCCATATTAAATGCTATCTAGAAGCTTGAAAATTATGCCGAGTCTCCGACTAAGAATGTTTTGACAACACCGTCATGTCAGGCAAATATTTCCAATCTCCTCAGCAATTTAAACCTGTCAAGTAGAAAGCGTAGTTGTGTATACCAGTATGGTCTAGTGTTGATCACAACTTGCGAGTACATAAATAACATCAACGATTGCTCAAACTCGGTATCGTAAATTTGTATATAATTTTTTTTAGTTGAGCACATTTTTAATACAGTTTGATTTGGTTATGTAGACATCGAACATGTACATGATGAACGAACATTATCATATTTATATTTAAAAGGTTACTTGTATATATAAATTTTCGCCATATTAAAAATACTGAAATCTGCTAGGCGTTCTGAAGCACCTTGAGCGGTGACGTCACACCTAGGTCCCAGTCTCGCACTACATCCACTTTTTTCTGGCGCTTGCTTCAGAACGACTGGGACTAGGCTGGATGGCTTGTATTGTCCAACCAGTAGCTCTTGGGGCAAACTTCCTTTTTAAATTAAATATTTATTAAACAAAAAAAAATTGCAGTATGTCCAATGCTGCATGGAAAACGTTTGTGTAAATACAGTTATCAAAAACTGATAATGTAAATAAAATGTTCTCTGCACCACTAAAAAGATTAATTACATGAGTAAACAGCATAAAGATTCTATGAAAGACAGTCACTCTTTCTGATAAGAATTCAAGAACTTAACAGTGTAAAGATTCTATGAAACACAGTCACTCTTTCTAAAAAGAATTAAAAAACATAACAGCATAAAGATTGTATAAAACACGGTCAATTTTTCTGACAATTCAAAAACATAACAGTGTAAAGATTCTACAAAAGACAGTCACTTTTTATGATAAGAATTCAAAAACCTAACAGTGTAAATATTATTAATAGCTTACACATTCTCTGGGTTTTTAAAAAAAAAGTTAAACAAGCTTTTGACTGCCAGCCTGCAGTCTCAACAGGCAAGTGATAGTGAGTTACATGGAAAAAACACTGGTTTCCAATTACATACACAAACAATTAAACAGTTCTGCTCCGCCTACATGATAAATATGATAATTATAGCAAGAAGAATAGTTTAAACTGTTCAAGATCTTTTTAGAAGAAACCGGTATTGTTCAGGCAAATGTTTTGAGTTATTATTATCAGCATTAGTTGTAATTGCAGTGTGCCATGACTTTCAAGGGTTGATCTATCGATAATTGTTTGTCGATAATTTTGCTGTTTCCAAAATCTTATGATAATTTGTCCAAACATGCTTAGTGATGTTTCCTTCGCCAAAAGACTGACCACCCCCAAAAAACAAACTAATGTTGTTTTTTATTAATTATATTTTCATGATTTGTTCATCCTTTTAAGCCCTTTAGCAATTTCATTGCAGAGAGCAATGACTATAATAGACGTGAATATAGCTATGCTTATTAAGCATTATAGTAGCACACATAACTGTATTGGTATATAAAGTGTTAAAAATAACCCCTCCACCCTGGAATGAATGGATAGTATCTAAAACTACCAAAACTTTGCCCACATATGCTTTGATACTGGAGTATATGTTATTGGACGGTATAAAACATTTAATCACCAAATTCCAAACACCACTGATCACCACCAAGACAATCTTTGCCAGAAACTATGGGACAGCTGCTGTAATTTCCTATCATTTGAAAGGAATAGCACCCCCTGTTCCTCCAGTTCAATGTTGGGCCGACAAAAACCTGATGTCCGGTTGCGAGCTGCCAACATTGAAACAGGTGTGGGGGGAGGGTGGAAAAATGTATCAGTAAATGGTATATTACAACTGAATGCATGTAAAAACTAGATTGTCCCAATCTATATTGTCAAAGATTGTACATCAGTGAGACAGGCAGAGCCTTCAACACCAGGAAAAAGGAACATGTAAGAAATGTTAAGCAATTAAAGGACGGGTTTAACATTGCTAAACATGTTTGGACAAATGATCATATGATAGACCTTGGAAACAGCAAAATTATCGACAAAGGAAACTACCATCATAGATCAACCCTCGAAAGTTGGCACACTGAGATTACAACTAATGCTGATAATAACTTGTAACATTTGCCTGAACAATACCAGTTTCTTCTAAAAAGATCTTGAACAGTTTAATCTATTCTTTTTGCTATAACTATCACATTTATCATGTAGGTGAAGCAAACTGTTGAATTGTTTGTGTATGTAATTGTAAAGCAGTGTTTTTTCCATGTAACTCATTATCACTTGCCCGTTAAAGACTGCATACTGGCAGTCGAAAGCTTGTTTAATAATTTTTTTTTAAAACCAGAGAAAATCTAAACTGTTAATATGAATAATCCTGGTATGCCTCTACCATTTTTAAGTGCAAAGATTCTATGAAACACAGTCACCTTGTTGTGAAAATAATTTTAAAATTTAACACCATAAAGGTTCTATGAAAAACAGTCACTCTTTCTGATAAGAATTCAAAAACTTAACAGCATAAAAATTCTATGGAACACAGTCACTGTTTCTGAAAATAATTTAAAAACTAACAACCTAAAGATTCTATGGTAGTCTATGCAAGAAGCCCCACCATAAAAGTCTGTACATGGAAGAAGTAAATCCTCATAACCATGCACCAGTCACATGTGTTCAAGGCAACAGTCCAGTACTGCTTCCTACCCTTTCCGTGAAGGTGAAGGGAAAGAATGGCAATGCCACAAAAACCAATATCTTCTACAATAGCAGTGCAGTAAGCATGATATGAAGCAGTTATGCAGAGTCAATTGAATCTCAAAAGTAAGCCCATTCGGATTGTCATCACCAGAGTTGGTTGAGCAGAAGAAGATATGAGTACCAGTGTATACAAGGTCCCTGTCTGCACAAATGATGGTAACATTGTTCAAACGATCGGTATCCCAAAGATATCTGAGGACACTCCTGACATAGATATCCATTATCTATTGACGGTTCTGGGAATATCCAGTGATAAGTTGAAACGCAGAGCAGGACCAATAGATCTGCTCATTGGAATAAACTATTCCCGGTTCCATGTTACCGAAATGAAAGTCAGAAACAATCTTGTTGGAAGAAATAGTCCCTTGGGTTGGGTAGTCTTTGGTTCTAATGCAGAAGGTATTATATCGACCGAGATTAAGATATGTTTGTAAAGCTGGAATATGTACTGGTGCTGAGACAAAGCCTCAAATGTTGTCTTTATATATTTTTAAACAACATATTGCAGCTGGACTATAGCCCCGGCTCGAAAGATTGTTATCAACAATCAGAAATTTCTGGATTGAGGTTGTGATTTAAAAATTAGCACTCCAAAATTTATTGCAATTGTACAGAATATATTAGCCTTGTTGAAACCTAACTAGCCTGCTTAATTAGTGTTTTGTATGAAGAAAATGCCAAACTGGTCCAGCTAAGGAGGGCACCCAAATCAGACGAATCAGTCTGGATCTTGTAAACGGCCTCAAACAGGGCCGTTCTGGCCAATATGTCTTTGGGGAGGGAGGTGAGAACAAAAGTTTAGGTTTCCAGTAAAGTAAAATAGCACACATAGATGCATTGTATTTTACCAATTTTTTAGCAATGCCAGTCCGACTTGCAAGAGCAAGTAAGACTGTTGAAAAATGGCCAGTATTTTTCAAGACCATGATGATGCATCAATGATGACCACAAGAACAGTGACGGCACCACAGGGAAGGACACGTCCCCCCAGTTCTCTAAAACGTCTATTTTCTAATTTGTCCAAATCCAGTGAGGGGGGCGTATTTTGTATGTTTTCACCTTAATCTAAGTGTAGCGCACGCGAGAAGCCACACGTTGCGAGAAACACGTTATGAATTGAACAGCCGCCATTATGATAGTTTTCGTATATATTCGTCGTGAATTTGTTGTATATATGTGAATAAAATAAGTATTCTAAATGATTTGGAGCCTTTTGAAACTAACTTCTCTTACATGGTCCTTCGGAGTTGGATATACAACGAATAATGGCTGAGGAATTGAAGAAATTAGTAAAAATATGCGGAGGCCATCGAGCCAGTCTTACGAAAACATTAGCTGTAACAGAGGAACTCTTAACGTAATCTACGGAAATATTTGAAGAAACACAGGCAAGTGACTTTGAAATAAAACTTACCCAACGTGTGATTTTGGGCGAGGAATTAACACTTCTAAAGAGTTTATGACAAGATTATCCTTTTGGTTGAGGACAGAAATATTGAGGATGAGGTTGCCAGTGCTGATGATATATGTCAAGCTATTCAAAGGGCAATTGTTCACATTGATTTAATTTTGGAAAAACTGAAGAAAAAAAATGGAATAAAGATGGTGGATCTTCACCATCGAATTTCGAAAGTTCGGTACGGTAAGATTACCGAAATTAGAACTAAAACATTTTAATGGGAACATAATGGAGTGGACTCCATTTTGGGATTCATATTCTTCTTCCATTCATGAAAATCCTAATTTATCCGATATAGATAAATTCAATTATTTGAATAGTCTGTTGGAAAAATCTGCTGCTGAAGCAATATCGGGTTTAAAAATAACTTCAGCAAACTACCAAGAGGCAATAGATATCTTAGACAAAAGATTTGGTAATCAGCAACAAATTGTCAATGCCCACATGAATGCTTTATTAAACCTGCCCAAGGTGACTAATGTAGATGACTTAAAGGCTCTCAGGCAATTACATGATAAAGTAGAGAGCCATATGAGGGGATTGAAATCACTTGAAGTTGACTCTGGTTCATATGGTAGTCTGTTAACACCTATTTTAATTGATAAGTTGCCTAAAGAGCTACGTTTAGAAGCTACAAAGCAGCTCAAAGAAGATTGGGATCTAGATGAACTCATCAAAATCTTTAAAAGGGGAACTGGGGGCTCGAGAGAGGGCAAGTCTCTTACCCTGCAGTTCAAGGGATCCCCCATCTAAGCCACTGTATAAACCTAAGATCCCGTCTGCATCATCTTTGTTTACTACTGGAGGAAGTCCAACATGCACCTACTGTCAACAACCCCACCCTTCAAACAGCTGTAGTACCGTGACTGACAAAAATGAGAGAAAGGAAATTCTGAAATGGTCTGGATGATGTTATATATGCCTTAGAAAGAATGTTGCCAGAGAGTGATCTAAGATAAAATGTTTTAAATGTGATAAGCGTCATCACATTAGTATCTGTCCATCCAATTCTAAGGTGAAAACCTACCCCACCAGAACAAGAAGCATCCCACCAACCAACCCCCTCTGAAGAACACCCATGCAAGCAACCCCAAGGTCACCAACCCATGAACCAAAGTAGAGAACAACCTCAGAACACCCATGTTAATATGTTTGTCGATGCACAGTCCTCGATTCTTTTACAAACTGCAAGAGCCCCCATTTACAACCCAAAGGCTCCTAGTAAGACGTTGCCAGGCAAGACTTATATTTGACAGTGGAAGCCAAAGATCATACATAACTTCCACAATGAGAGACAAGCTGAATCTCCCTATAGTAAGACGAGATACCCTCAAGATTAATGCCTTTGGTTCTAAGGATGAAGATATTACCTCCTGCGATATGGTTCAATTTCAGTTGGCTTATGTTGTTCCATTGATATGCTCCACAATTGGAAACCAAAATACAAGATTTGCCCAACAATCCTATGAACATCTTTCTGGTCTAAAACTTGCTGACTCAGCAAACAATAGAGAAGAATTCGATTTGGATATACTGATTGGAAGCAATTATTATTGGCAGTTGGTCACCGGTCATGTAATCCATGGAAACGATGGTCCTACAGCAATGCATACCAAGCTCGGCTGGGTTTTGTCTGGTCCAGTGAAAAGGGCACCACCCAATTCTCATTCTAATGTCAACATTGCATCTACCCATGTGTTACGATGTTTTACCCAACTCACCCTTTCCCCAGAAGCAACAATCGAAACTAACCTGAAACGTTTTTGGGAATTGGAATCACTTGGTATCAGTGCTGATGAGCATTCTGTTTATGAAGAGTTTCTAAGTACTGTGAAACACCGAGATGGTCGATATGAAGTTCACCTACCATGGAAAGATAACCAAGTCACCATACCAGATAACTACCAGCTTAGTCTAAGGAGACTAGAATCCCTCCTAAGGAGACTCCAACAAGATCCTAAAACCCTGAAGGAATACGATAACATCATTCAGGAGCAGATAGCTAGAGGAATCATAGAAAGAGTTGATGAAACATCCACCACCAATGCAAGTTGTGTCCATTACTTACCACACCATGCCATCATTTGCCGCAACAAGGAAACAATAAAATTGCAGATAGTCTACGATGCCTCTGCGAAATCCGAGAGATCAAGAGATTCAGGTGTCATCCAACAGCATTGGTCAGAGACATTGAAAAAGCGTTATTGATGATTGCCATTGCAAAGGAAGATCGAGATGTCTTGAGATTTCTCTGGGTTGATGATATTACTAAGGATGACCCTAAGATTATGATATATCGATTTACGCGTGTAGTATTCGGGGTGACGGCCAGTCCATTTTTGTTGAATGGGAGAATCAAACATCACATTGAGAAATATCAGGTTTGTACAGAAGTTTCTGAGTGGCATTTACGTGGATGATTTAAGTTCTGGAGCCAAGGATGACAACGCAGCCTATGAACTGTATATTAAATCAAAATAACGCCTAAGTGAAGGCGGATTCAATCTTCGCAAGTTTCTATTTAATTCTCCTATCCTAATGCAAAGAATACAGCAAAGTGAAGAAACCCCTACTATCAGTCAGTCAACGACAGATGTGGTCAACGATGTCTGTACTGACACAGGACGAAAAACGCGTCTTTAATATGCTATTAAAGTAGTATTAAATGCGTATTTTATTCGAGTTTAATTGCACTTAATGCGAATTATTAAAGTTGCTAAATGTTTCTTTTATCACCTTTAGTGTGCTTCATTAAGTGTATTAACGACGATTTTAGTAACATGATCTACTAAAATCGATTAAATGTTACTAAATGTGCCCTTAATTTTTCTAATTAAAGGGGCATTAAAGCTGCTTAAGTACGTATTTAATCACATTTAACACCAGTATTATTGTTGATTAAAGACGAGTTTAATACCAAAAAAGTTTGTTTCTTAAAGGTTATTAAATGTGAATTTATTCCGTTAATTAAAGACCACTTAAAACTCCATAAAGAGTAAATTAATCGTCTTTAATGTGTCGATTAAACTTTGTGTAAGTGTGACTTTAAAAGGCTTTAGTAGTGCTATATTAAGTTTGCAATAACCGGCATGACCGATTTCAATTTTTTGTACTTTTGCATGAAGATGCCAAATTGCGTAAACCTTTGCGTGTAAAATACACAGAGGCATTAAAAATACATAAAAGCAACTGTACATTACCGCAAAGTCTCAGTAAAGTCAAGACACAACATGCGTTTGTTGTCAAATACATTTATTCACATTTGCAAGGGCAATGTATTTACAAATTACAATCACAAAGACACAATTTACGTTAGTTAAGCCTAGTTTCCATTTGGTTGTTAGTTGTCGCTGACACGACAAGCGGTAGATGTGAAATAGTCTAATGATAATAGTCGTTTTGTGGGTTATATGCAAATCAGTCTTAATGATTGCAGAGTTTTGTAAAGTTTTGTTGTCACTCTATTACATCAGCCATTTGTCATGCCAGCGACAACTAACGACCAAGTGGAACTAGGCTTTAGTCTTTATAGTTTAGAAATATGAGTAAGTGCTGTCGTGCAACGTGCCTATATATATAGGATATACTAAAACATTGTCATTGATCTTAATGAGCATATTTTACAATAACAATAGAGCTATAAATTACTTATCTTTACAAGTCGAAAAAACCCCAAAAACTATTGAAATTACGTCTTATTAGAATTTGAATGCCTCACCACTAAGTTGAACGCGAAGATGCATAAAATATTGTCAGGGTGCATATATTAAATATTGAATGATTAAGAAATTAATATCTCTTTGTAAAGCGCACAATTTTCTGCTCTTTATGCATAAAATTTACTATTATTCAGTATATGTCAAGTTTTCATGCACTTATGGGTTCAGCCGAGGGCCGAGGCATTTAAATTCTAACAATACGTTACTTCGATTGTTTTGGGGTTTTTTGGACACCCTGTATGTTATGACAGATTGTTTAGCAAGCTACTCTAACTAAACTGCCTGCATCTGCATAAATAGTACACATTTTCAAATTCAATCGTAGTAATTTGACTTTGCTAAGAACGGATTAGTCTTCATTCAGATTCACTACTGCAAGTGATTACAATAGGTTAAGACTAATTTGAGTTTGAAAATATATCCTTATTTATACATGCTGCTAATGTACTATAGTTCACACTTGCCTTAACTTGTACATGGTGCATCAGATAAAAACCTTTCAAATTAGCCACAATCTATATTGCAGTAATTTCACAGGACATGCAAGGAACGGTTTAACCCTGTCGATGAACTAGTTTACTGTAATAGGTTATGTCTTATGACTAATTTTAATTCGAAAGGGCGTAGATTTAAACAAACCAATGGGCAATGTAACGGATGGTTAAACACAAATGTTATTGGTTGTCAGAGCAAAAAAACGATACACATACACGTTAAGGCCCGATTCGACGACAGCAAAATTTGCCTGCGAAATAAGGCTGCAAAATAAGGCTGCACATGAGTGATTCTATTGAATTTGCACATTTTTGTCACAGTAAGTAGAACTGACTTCTACTCACTGGCGAGGCGAAATTTTTTCTCGCGAAGCCTAATTTATCTTTACTGCGCATGCACCATTTTATTAGTACGGAATGTTTCGCATTTCGCCGAGTTCACATAAACTGGAGTAAAAGATAACAATATAGATGAGTTATATTGAGTCCTGACTATGGAACCTTGTTTACTTCATTAACCCATTAAGGGCCAGCGCTCTCCCCTTGACGAGTAAAATCGTCTGGCATTAGACAGAGTAAAATACTCTGGCGTTAGACAGTAAAATACTCTGGCGTTAGACAGAGTAAAATACTCTGGCGTTAGACAGAGCAAAATACTCTGGCGTTAGACAGAGTAAAATACTAAAGTAGGGTGCAATGCGACTCAATGGGTTAACTCAGTAAGTATATAAAAAAGTTCGGAATTATAGTTCAGTATTTCATCGGGAAACATTTAAATCCACTGCTGCGGCATTATCGTCCCCTGGTCCAGCAGCAGCATCTGCTGGATTTGTAGGCACAATACATGCCCAATGCCCAATCTGGGCAGTTTGCTGGCTTTGGTTTGGTGGACGGTTCACCTTACTGTCTGGGAATCATGACATGTTTAGAGAGCCCTGACAGCAAAACTACATGATTCTTGTCCAACTTTTTCTTTACACACCGTAACTTCCTCCACTCTTCGTCCACCTCGCTCTCCTCCGTTGACATATACTCAATTCGTAAGATGTCAGCAATCTTGGCTACTTTCGCTTGGCTCCAGTTCATCTTATTGAGGCATTTAAATCTCCTTGCCAGTTTCTAAAATTAAATACCGACACTATTGCGTCCTGAATTAATATAGTCATTACCTTTTATCTATTCTATGCATATTTAACAATTATTCGCTGAAGCGGCGAAGGCGAGCTGCGATTATCGCAGAAACTCAGTAGCTATACAATATAATTTACTATCTTATGCTTGTCTATAGAGTATAGGCTCATCTGCACAAATAAATAGAACAATAGTTCATTAGACGAATAAAGGTTTGACGAAATTGTTCAAATTAGGGGACTTAGTTAGTCAAAACATTGTTATTAGTTGTTTAGAGAAACATACAGCCAGTTAAAAAAGGTTGCCCTTTGGAAACATTAAACTCTAAATTAAACCTTAAACTCTAAGCTCACAAAGTTTAATGGCAGCACAAGTTTCAAGCTTAGAACTGTAGATGAATATTGCTTAGAACTTGTAGATGAATGAATTGTTCTCGTCAGGAGATATTTACCATGTCTCTAAAAATGGGCCCTATATACGATTTCTAAACTGGTTAAATGATGCTCCCATTATGCTTTGCACACTTAGAGTTTAAGGTTTAGAATTTAAGGTTTGCAAAAGACAATCTGTTTTGAATTAGTTGTAAACCATACAAACTTGACTACGAAGGTAATATTATATAGGAATTGTATACAAACGTTGACAAAACAATAAACATTGTCATAGATAATGAATCATAATTATATTATGCTATGTCTACAGAATATTACACTTTTAAATGTGCAAAGAAATCTCGTCATGAAAAATAAGCATCGAGCTTCTATTTCTAGCCATAGCTGCCCCTGTTGAATCTTTCTCTTCTTAAATGACATCAATAAATTAGACGAAAGAGGAAAGTGAGAACATTATACGCTGATGTAGTGTATTAGACCGGAACTAATTAGCATGTATGTAAATTAAGGTATATAAACTTAGTGTTTGTAACTATGTATGTGCAGTTCTTATATGTAGTATAATAAAGTGGTTCAAAATACTACATTTGGCGACGAGGAAGAAACTAAAAAGACAGCATGTCTACATGCTTAAGTGGACTGCCCTGGATTGCTAGCGTTTGACGCTGTAGGCGAACCAGCAACATTAGCCCAGAGATGGACAACATGGAAGGAAGAATTCGAGCTATTCGTTACCGCATCGGGAATAAGCGATTCAACCCAGAAAAGAGCCCTTCTTCTCCACCTTGCTGGCCCGAAAGTGAGAGACATTTTTAACAATTCTATACCCGAAGGCGCCCGAGGCGAAGCAAAGGACTACAATAAAGCAATGGACTGCCTTTCAGACCATTTTAAAATGAGAAAAAATGTGCCTATGGCTCGACAGGCGTTTATCGCAGTGAAGCCGAACGTGGGCGAAACAATTAACAACTTTATAACACGACTACAGAAGCTAGCAGAACACTGTGACTACGGCGAGGAACGTGATAATCAAGTAAGAGATCATGCTATTTCTTACATTAAAGATAAGAACTTAAAATCGAAGTTATATCGTGAAGAAACATTGACTTTAAACAAACTTATGGAAATAGTCGGCGAGTATCATGACCAAGAGGCGTTAATCCTTTTGTCTGATCGAGTAAACAACATTCAAATTAGTTCAAAGAACAAAGGACGGTGTTGGCGTTGCGACAAGGCGGGACATTACGCAAGAGAATGTCGAAGCTCGCGAGACCACAAGTGTGGAAAGTGTGGTAAAGTTGGGCATTTCGAAGTCTGCTGCCATTCAAGAAGCAAGCAACCCGAAACACGTCAAGGCACAAATAATCAAAGTACTCATGTTGGTGGAAATCGAGGAAGAAACAAGAAAAGATCGGATGTGCGTCAAGTTACAGATGGTGAACTCCCTGCAGCCGTGCCGGAAAAGCAAGCATACGACGGAGACTATTACCACGTGTTCAGCGTTGAAGACATAGATGAAGAGAACTTTCTGGAATTGAAGATTGAAGATAAGTTTGTTAAAATTGTTATTGACTCTGGTGCTAGCTGTAACTTAATCTCGCATGAAATGCTAGATTTTATTACAGGGGGTAAAGTGAATTTATCACCTTGTGATAAGAAAATTTATGCTTACGCAGCGGTTAATCCATTAGAGCTTGACGGGAAATGTAAGCTTAACGTATATGTGCCTCAAACTAACCAACAAATTTTGACCGAATTCTATGTTACAAGTGGGAGGGCAGTGACGTTGCTTGGTCGCAAAGCGTCTCAAACGTTGGGACTGTTAAAAATCGGGGTATCTCTGCATATTTCAACAGAAAGAAAAGCTGTCTTTAAAACAAAGGTTCCCCAAAGTTTTTCGAGGACTCGGTAAACTTAAGGGATATCAGTTAAAATTCCACATTGATCCTGAAGTAGAACCCGTAGCCTAGCCTGTACGTAGAATACCATTTAGTTGCAGACCCAAAGTTGTACAGAAAATAGAAGAGCTCGTCGAACTTGACGTAATAGAAAAAGTAGAGGGTCCAACTAGCTGGGTTAACCCATTAGTCGTAGTAGAAAAGCCAAATGGGGACGTAAGAATTTGTTTAGATATGAGACATGCGAACAAGGCGATCAAGAGAGAGAAACATCCAGTTCCTACAGCAGAAGAAATCTTACAAGAAATCTCGGAAGCAAAGGTCTTCACCAAATTAGACCTTAATATGGTGTTCCACCAAATTGAGTTGCACCCAGACTTGAGGGACATAACCACATTCGCGGCACCAAACGGTTTATATCGATACAAGAGGTTGATCTTCGGGGTGAATATGGCAACAGAGAAGTTCCAGAATATCATTTGGCAAGTCATCAAAGATTGCCCAGACGCATACAACATCCATGATGATCTTCGTGTCGTTGGCGCTACTGACAAAGAACACGACGAGAATCTAGAAAGAGTGATGAGGAAATTGGAAGAAAATGGTCTCATGCTGAATTATGAGAAGTGTGAAGTCGGCATCAACGAGATGGTTTACATGGGAGACGTTTTGTCTGGGGATGGTCTACAACTCTCAGAAAAACGAGTCAAAGCTATTGTCGACGCACCAGAACCCAAGAACCAGTCGGAACCTTGGCTCATCGCAGTTCTGTGCAAAGTTTATCCAGAATTTTGCAACCGTGTCGAGTCCTTTATGGGATCTCACGAAGAAAGGTGCCAAGTGGAAGTGGGGAGAGAGAGAAAGTCGAGCTGTTCGCGAAATTAAAGAAAAGTTAACGTGTGCTCCAGTGTTGGCCTACCATCGACGAGATGCGAAGACACGGCTGATAACTGATGCTTCACCTGTGGGTGTTGGAGCTGTATTGGAGCAAGAGCAGGATGATTCAACCTTCAAGCCAATCTACTATGCAAGTCGAAAGCTCAGTAACGTTGAACGGCAGTATTCCCAATTTGAAAGAGAGGCGTTAGCTGTTAGGTGGGCCT